TTTCTAATTATAACTTTTGGGTTATGATTTTTAAAAAATTCAAAATTTCTTTTAGCAACAGATACTAGTATTTAGAACAGAGCTTAACTCACTCAGAAGTTCATGAGATCTCAGATCCAGAAACTTTGCCCAAGAATCTTGGACACAGGTTGTTGGTTAATACGAAAAGTGCGTGGAGAGCCATGCAGACGGTTGGCCCTCCCCCCTTGTCAATCAGTTGAAGTGAAGAAGCCTGACTTCCTGACCGCCATTTTGTCTGTGCAGCCCTAATCTTTTCTTGGGCCTGCCTGCCTATATCAGACTTGGGTGGCAAGTGAAAACAAAAACCCAGTGTAAACCAGCTTAAGTGAAATGCAGGCATTTGTTGGCTCAAATCCTGGGAGGAAAACAGGGCTGTGCTAGTTTCAGGAGTGGCTGGATCCAGGGACTCCAACTCCATTAGGGCTCTTGATCCTGTGTGTGCATTTCCTCATGTGCAAGAAAGAAATAAAAACAGTGGCTACCTTGTAGTGCTGTGAGAATTAAATAAGTTGATCCATGTAGAACACAGTGCCTAGCATGTGAAAATCACTCAATTAACATTAAGTATTATTCATAGTGGGAGAAGGAAGTAGTGCCTAGGGGAAATTTGATCATCTCTTTAAAGATCAAAGAAACAAACCTAGGAAGATAACCCCCCCACCCCCACCAGGGATCACAGTCCTGCTTGTCAGAAGTGCTGTGTCGAATCCTCTGGCCAAACACTGGCTGCCAATATACAGAGGAGGTACAAGGACCTCCTCTAAGAAAGTCGAATGTTACTAAAATACTTGTACTAGAGTATGAGAATAATAATGCCACCACAGACAGTCATTTATAAAACATGAAATCTGAGTATAACATATATAGGCAGTGCATGACATGCCCTGCATATGGCTCAATCTACGTGCACAGAGATTCTTTATAATGAAAACTCCCTGCAGTGTGCATACATATACAAAAGCAATGACTCTAAAGAGAACAAAGAAAAACAAGGGGTAAAAATGTCAAGTGATGGATGCATAAAGGGAACATCATTAATGTCATACCAAAAAAATCCCCAACATTTGGAAGGATCATCAGTGTGTCTGGAAACCTATGTCAGTTGATTTCTTGACTATCCTTTGGTTTACTCTAGCAGCTACTAAGTTTATGCAGTAGATAGTTAGCACAATAAGATTAACTTAGTTTCTTTTCACTTTTAGTAACATAATTTTGTAAAGAGCTGTAAAGGAGTGGAAATAAAGATTAAAAGAATTTTTAAAAAACCAGAAAATGATATTTTTAAAAAAGAATAAAGGCAAGAGAAAAAAGAACAGAAGAGAATTGAACCCCCTTGATACTACTTTCTGGCTGGCCCTTTGTATTTTATACTCCTCACGTCCACAAATGACATGCCTACAGATCTCCCTAGAGCGTGAGCTCCCTGAAGTCTGGATCCAAGCTGGGGATGTTTATGTCTTCCACGCAATGCTCATCCCTGTGCTAGACCCACACCAGGACTGGGCCGTTTCTTCACTTGCTGATTGAAAGGTAAAGGAAATCAGGAACACCGAAAGGGCCAGGAAAAGAGTAAATAGGACAATTGTCTGAGGGTTGGACCTTGAATTTCTCTGAATTGGAGTATAACTAGAAGATCTCACAGATGAGGTGTGGTAGGCATTGATGATTAAGGTGAGAATCTCCTGGAAGTTTTTAGCAGTGAAAATGCTGCCATGGAAATGCTGTTATGTTAAAGCTGGTGATGCTTGGTTTCAGTGAAACTAGATGTTCCACAAAGAAAGTTCTTTGATAAGTGATGCCTCTTCCACTCTTCCTGTGAACAAACTTGTGCTGCTTAACATATTGCTACAATAATCTTGTGATAATTTGCATTTATCTCACATCCATTACAGGCAATCAGAATCCATTCCACATATGCTGCTTCCCAGCAAAGCATGCTGAATCTTTTAGACACTCATTATTTACCAGAACAAATAAAAACTCTTAAGATCCATTATCTGTCACCAGAATATTCAGACAATCTATTTCCTCCTCCTCCCTCTTCCTCACCCCCCATCCAGCCATCCCCCTTGGTGCCTGTGAGCACACTTGAGCCCTCCCTATCACTGACTTTGCTCTCTCCCTATTGGCTAATTTAGGAATCAATTACCTATCACTTAAAATTATTTTGTGTCACGTACTCTATTCGAGCCAAATTGCAGGGTCAGCTTGAACAGAGACCAGATGACGGAGTGCAGTGGTTAAGGGCACAGAAGATAGCATCAGACTGCCTGTATTTGAACCCAGGTTTTGCCACTTACTAGCCAGGTGCCCTCAGGCAAGTTACTTGATGTTTCTGTGCCTCAGATTCCTCATCTGTAAATGAGGATGAAAATGCTACCAAGGAGGGCTATTGTGAGGAGTAAATGAGTTATAATATGTGAAATACTACTCAGAATGGTGTGGTAGAAATGTTCCTGTTTATCAGTTATTGACCACAGAGGCTAGCAACCTGCTAAATAAATGGTTTTTATCAATAAATACATATTCATCCTTGGAACTTTTTCTTGCACACATAGTACATGTATGTCTACCAATTAGAAAATGCATATAAGATACACATATAAGAAAACAAAAACACCAGCAGTGCCACTGCCCAGAGATATCTATTAGTTTTTTCACATATTCCATCCATTAATTAAGGAACATTTACTGAGCACCTAATATTTGCAAGCCTTCATGCTTTTGCTGGAGATACAATAATGTGCAAAAACAGACACAGCTCTTGCCTCATGGAGTTTACAGTCTGCAGAGGGAGACACACCTTAACCAAGTAACGACACAAATACGCATGAACCTGCAGCAACTGGGATAAATGCTATAAAGGAGAGGTGCATACGTAGGAGAGAGATCCAATCTAGCTGTGAAGATCTGTTATCTGTAGGGTGTGAGGAAGTGACTACTGAAGTGAGAATGAACTCAAAGGAATTAACTCAGAGAAGTCAGAAGGGAAGAGTGTGCCCAACACATATAGTAAATCCAAAGGCCCAGTAGAGGGAAGGGGCACGGTGAGTAGAAGGAACAGAGGTCGATGTGGCTGCAGTTGTGCACTTGATAAAGCTGGTGAGTTAGGAAGATGGTAGACCTAGCAGATCATCAGATCCTTAGTTTAGAAATTATTCTTCATTCATTCAACAAATATTATCTATGAGGAGCTAAGGACACATTTATGTCATATAATTGGATTTATACCTTATATTGGTTTTACTATGAACAATTTTCAACAATAGGCCAGACCCAGTGGCTCACACCTGTAATCCTAGCACTCTGGGAGGCTGAGGCGGGAGGATTGCTTGAGCTCAGGAGTTCGAGACCAGCCTGAGCAAGAGTGAGACCCCATCTCTACTATAAATAGAAAGAAATTCGCCAAACAACTCAAAATAGAAAAAATTAGCCAGGCATGGTGGTGATGCCTGTAGTCCCAGCTACCAGAGAGGCTGAGGCAGGAGGATCACTGGAGCCCAGGAGTCTGAGGTTGCTGTGAGCTAGGCTGATGCCATGGCACTCTCGTCCAGGTGACAGAGTGAGACTGTCTCAAAAAAAAAAAAAAACTCACCAATAAATATATAGTAATTTAACCCATCTCTTATTGTTGGAAATATAGATTGTTTCCAACTTCCCACTATTAACAATGCTGTGACAAATGTCTTTGTATATGGACACGTGTCCAAATAGTTCTTGGCATAAATTCCTGCAAGTGGAATTGCTGCTTGGGCAAATTTGTAAACATATTTTAATCGTATCTTGTCTGGAAAATTAGCATGCTCAACTGTCAAGATTTGCTGCTATGCAATGCCATGATCTTTCAAGGTTGGTGCCACTGTTACATTTGAAGGCATTCTTAGTGACTTTTATAATTTGCTTCTTCGTTTTCTTCGGTGTGTTCCAACAACTTCAGGTCACTCCATACTGACAATGAAACCTCTTTAACTATAGCTCTGGAGACTCCTCTGCTCCATGGGAGAGGGAAGACTTTCTTATCTGTCTCTGAAGGATCTTCCTCTGGACTTGAGACACACTGGACGAGAAGGCAGTTTCTGACATTCTTTTCCTCTCCTTTGGCCTTCTATTTCGTCCAGTTCCATTTTCCTGCAGTAAATTCACTAACCTGTTAAAGGTAGATGGAGCTCAGACAATTCCATTACAGAACTAGGTTTTCCATTCTGCTGAGCTCGTTGACAGATTTGATCTTCTCGGGAGCCTATGTGTCTTCCATCTCCCCCTTTCAATATCTACTGGCATTAGATTACCTTGTAAGGACCCGTTTACTGTTAAGTCATAATTTCTAGGATTCTAATGATTAACACGGACAAACTCTGATACACTATTCACATCTTTCTTAGCTCGTTTCCATTCCTCTTCCCCATTGCAAAACAAAACACCCAAAAACCCGTTTCCAAGATCAGTGGGAAGTTCTTGCTAAAGCAGCCAGACTTTGGGTAGGCCTTGGAAGGATCCCGGATGCGTAGGTAAAGTTAGGTTTACCACGTGCCGGGCACAATGCTAATTACATTACATAGGTTTTTCCTTTTAATCCTCATGACAACCCTCTGAGGTGGATATCATTACTGTCCCCATTTTATAGATTAGAAAACTGAGCTTAGGGAGGCTGTCATTCATCCACAGCCACACAGCTACTATGTGGGGAGTGAACCCCACTTCTGTTTGTAAACTGAGATGAAAAAAAGGGAGGCAGGCCAAGAAAAAAAATATGAAAAGGGTTGAAAAGCAGCAGACGAAACGTAAGTGGCAAGCAGAAGCGCCTCCCTTCCCGCTTCCTTCCTGTCCATAGCTCGGCCTACAGTGCGGCCAGCACGCCTCCCAGCGGCCGCTTCCCACTCCCTAATGCTTCCGGCTTCAGGAAGGCGTCACTAGCGAGCGCCCTGCATCGGCACCCACCGCGTGCGTGCGTGCGTGCGTGCGTGCGGTGAAAAGCGCAGGGAGAGGAGGCGGGCCTTCCGGCCCTCACCAAAATCATTTCCGGAAGGAGTCGGAAGACCGTCCTGGATGGCCTCAGGGGCGGCAGCTGTGTGTAGGTGAGCTCTGGGGTTGCCGGCTTCTCCGCGCCCGCTGGTCGCCTCATGCTGCGGGCCTCGGCCACCAGCCTTCGCTCGGATTGGCGGCGCTGAGGCGCCGGGGTAACAGGCGACATGTCGTCGGGCCTCCGCGCCGCTGACTTCCCCCGCTGGAAGCGCCACATCTCGGAGGAGCTGAGGCGCCGGGACCGACTGCAGAGGCAGGCGTTCGAGGAGATCATCCTGCAGTGTGAGCGGCGCCCGTGCGGGACGGGACCGGGACGGGCGGACCCTGGGGAGGCACGCGAGGCACTAGCTGGAACCGGAGGCCAACACCGACGCCGCCTGCGCGCATGGCGGCCGCCTCGGGTACCCTGCGCCTCGGATGCCCCACGCCTTTTTAGATATTTTTCTTCCCGTTTCGTCTTTTCTTTGGGGGTGATAGTGGAGCGTCTCCCCCATTAAATTGTGTGATCTTTGTGGGCAGGCCCTGTTCGTGTTTGTGTTTTTTACACGATACTTATGCACTTAAAAAAGCCCAGGCTCCAGAAACATCGCATTTATGGGGTCCTACTAATGAAAACATGTATTGACTTTAAGCATTAACTAGCAGAATTAACATTGTCTTCTGAGTGAGGTGGAACGTGTGGCCTTTAACTGCTCATACTTGTTGCCCTTACTCCACCTTGGTAGTCTTTCACTATTACACATTTTGAGTCTTAACATAGCTTTCAGTTGGGGCGTAGGCTTTACTGTTATTGAAAACCTTGAATACGAAAGAGGTAGTTTTCTTCTCCTCCACCCCTTGGAATTTAAGGGTACAAAAATGTTTGTATCTTAGGTAAATCTAAATGAGCATTTCCCTTCCCCATCTCTCCACTTTTACCATAACTGATGACTCATTTGGGAGAAGAAATGGCCACTCTTCAGTCTTAAGGTCCCACCTACCCCTTGAAGTAAGCCTGACAAGCCTCCGGGGTCATATTGATGATGGGATTAAAAATAATAGTTGCCTTTTATTGAATTCTGATTGTGCTAAATAGGTGGTTCCCAAAATTATCTGCACATTAGAATCACCTGGAGATCTTTAAAAAAAAAATTACAAAGCCCAAGGCACACCACAGACCAATTAAATCACAGTATAGAGAGAGTAGCAGTGTTTTTTGATGCTCTCCAGATGATTCTAATGTGCAGACAAGTTTGAGTGCTGTGGTAAATATGTTGCATGTGTTATTTTATTTTATCTTCCCCCAAATTCTATGAAGCAGGTCCCATTATTGCGCTCTTCACACATGTGGAAACTGAGGCTGAGAGAAATTTGGTAAACTGTGGGGCTGCACAGCAGGTAGTGGTGGGACTGGGATTTGAACTCAGGCTTGATGTTGCTTAGCTTTTGCATTTGCTTTTCTCACTGGATCCCCCAATAAATGGTCCTTCTTAATTTTTACTGCACCCATTCTCTTAACAAAACTAGGAAGAAAGGGGGATGTTTTGTTGCTGTCATGCTAATTCCAAATACTAAGAGGCCTGGCAGACCAGTGCTGTTATATTTCAGAATGCCAGAAACGTAGGCAGTGTCTCTCACTCAAACTATGTCATTCCCTTACAGGTTACATAAATTCAGTTCATCAGGTGTTTATTGAATGCTTATTCTTTTTTTTTTTGAGACAGAGTCTTGCTTTGTTGCCTGGGCTAGAGTGAGTGCCATGGCGTCAGCCTAGCTCACAGCAACCTCAAACTCCTGGGCTCAAGCAATCCTTCTGCCTCAGCCTCCCGAGTAGCTGGGACTACAGGCATGCGCCACCATGCCCGGCTAATTTTTTTCTATGTATTTTTAGCTGTCCAATTAATTTCTTTCTATTTTTGGTAGAGACGGGGTCTCGCTCTTGCTCAGGCTGGTCTCGAACTCCTGAGCTCAAACGATCCGCCCGCCTCGGCCTCCCGGAGTGCTAGGATTACAGGCGTGAGCCACCGCGCCCGGCCTGAATGCTTATTCTTTAAAAGATAATATACTTTGAAAGTCAAATTGGGTTGGCTGCCTGACTAATACCCTGCTAACTAATCTTTTCACTACCTTTCTTAGTCTGGTCTGCTGCATCTATAAAATGGGGATGGAGCTTGCCCTGCCTGCTTCTTAAAAACAGTGCTGCACGTATTAGTGCTTTGAAAGCCATCTGTGTAATAGTCTATAAATGTAAGACGCTGGTTATCTCATTGACACAAATAGAATTGTTTTTGCACTTCAAAAATGACATCTTGATGGCGTCGGAGCACGTAGGAGAACAGTCAGAACTAGAGGGCAGTCGTGGAGAGAAGACATATTAAACAGGGCTAGAGTAGTCAGTAATGCCTGCCTGAGGGGCCAGGAGAGGAGGCTGGGAGAAGAGGCTAACAGGGAGCAGGGAAGGGAGACAGCCTTTGCCTGTTCAAGTCTTCTGTGTAGGGGGATTGACATTTGGGGAGATCATTTCTAGTGTGACTGTGAAACATCTCCATTCCTCTTGTTCCAGCCTTCTCAGGCCAGTCAAGTTCTGACCCTCCATAAACCCCCTGTCCCCTGTTCAGTCCCTGCCTCTGAGCCTGAAGAGAAAGATGGAAAGAAGCTATGGGGAGAGGGGCAAGGCTTCCCTCCATCTCCAACCTCCCCTTCAGTGAGGAGCCTTGGGAAGGATCCCTCTTAAATGCCTCATGTCCTTTGAAAGACCTAAAATTATTGCAGGGCACCAAGCTTTGGTGGAACGTTTTGAAGATCTTATTAGAGCCCCTTGACACTGGTGAATTTTAAGTCTTCCTATTGGTTGTGAAAGCCAAGGTTGGAACGACTTCCCTATTTGGCTTAGCTAATGCATTTGACTAATATAGATGAAGAGAGTATTTTCGCCCAGGAGTTCTCTTTTCAGATATCAAGAAGTAGAACTCAGGACTCTTTATGAGGAGAGATAGGCTCTCTTAACAGGAATGATAATCACTAGCATAAACCCTATCAAAATTTTGTTCTAGAGCAATTCTAATCTCAGGATTTGTGACAACCTCTTTCAAATGTTGCTATTCTACTAAGTTCCTGTGGTCAATTTCTTAATTCTGCCTTAAGGTCCCCCTTACCCCCATCTGATCTTACTGGCCCCCATGTGCCTGTTATTCCCAACTACATGTTCTTTCTAGCCCCGTTTTTTCTTTTGAGTTCCTGCACTAGGTCCCCTGTCAAATATACTATGTTCAGAAAGAGACTCATTTTATTCCCTAAGTGTTCTCTCTTCTGTGCTCTGATACATTAGTGTCTTCCACCCAGTTCCCTGAACAAAGAACTTCAGAATAATGTTTGACTTTCTACCAATACAAATCTGTTCATGTAACTGCCTGCATTTACAATTTCTTATTTCTTCACTGCCAGTAAGAAAAAGCCTAAATTCCTCATCCTCTCGTGTGTTGGCTCCAACCTTTATTTCCAGCCACTTACCAAACAACCCTATGCTATTCCTTCTGCCTAGACTGTCATCTTCCTTTAAGGCTCAAATCAGGTGTCACCTGCTGTGGAACTATCCAGAAAAATAGAGTCACTATTCTCTGTACCTTTTTATAGTTAACCACATTAGATTTTAACTCCTTCAATGTTGGGGGCTGTGATTTATATTTATATCCCGAGGTGCCCTGATCTGAAAAGTAATTAAATTTACCAAAGTATGATAAAGTTTTCCTTTATTATTTAAAGGTATATAGCATTTCACCACTTCGCCATTGTGTTTGATGTCTTTTTCTTTTTTCTTTTTCTTTTTTATTTCCAAGATAGAAATAAATAATGCTGGGAGTAAAAAGCAATTTCAACTCCCTTTAATAGGGGTACCTTCTTGCTGGTGCATTTCCATAGATTACTGTGGCTGGACTGCCCAAACATAGGCCAAGAAACATCTAAGGAAGGTATCTTCCTGGATTTTATACAATTGCTGCCATGGCAACAAAACACATTTATCTAGTACTTTGATACCTTATAAAGGTGAAACCTACCCAAGTCATCTTCTGGTTATTTTTTGGTCCCAAGCTTTATAAGATGTAAGGTGTATTTATGTTACAATAACTTAATTTCTGACCTTTTTTTAAATAGATAACAAGTTACTGGAAAAGTCAGATCTTCATTCAGTGTTGGCCCAGAAACTACAAGCTGAAAAACATGACATACCAAACAGGCATGAGATAAGGTACTTTGAAACTAACCTGTATTATCTGTGTTTGCTATGTTGAAATTTATCTCAGTTTAGTTGTCACTAATTTAAAAGTGAATGAAGTACTATTTGTTCTGGTTTTTGTCAGTTCCTTTCAAAGAAACCAAGTAAGATTGTTTTTTTAGAAGGTACGTACATACTGGCTGGGCACAGTGGCTCACGCCTGTAATCCTAGCACTTTGGGAGGCTGAGGCAGGAGGATTAGCAGGCTGAGATACATACCTAGAAGAGTTATTATCAGTGCTGTGCTCTCAGCTTAAGAAATTTCTTTTTTTTCCCAAGAAATTTCTTAAGTTCATGGGGCAACCCTAGGTCAATTTCTCTTCAAACTTACCAGGGTTTGCTTTCTTTAAAAATAGAGACAAGTATTCCTGAACTGATTTACATAGATCTTGTTAATACAGGATTGACTGGTGCATAAACACAAATTGTTTTTTATACAGTACGGGTCTGTTTGATCCTTTTAGCTCAGTGTTTTTCCAGCATACAAAGGGTCCCTGACTTAGAATGGTTTGACTTAAATTTTTCAACATTATGATGGTGCAAAAGCAATATGCATTTAGTAGAAACTGTATTTTGAGTGCCCATCCAACCATTCTGTTTTTCACTTTCATTATAGTATTTGATAAATTATATGAGATATTCGGCACTTTACTATAAAATAGGCTTTGTGTTATATGATTTTGCCCAATTGTGGGCTAATATGTTTTGAGAGTATTTGAGGTAGGTTAAGCTATGATGTTCGGTAGGTTAGATGTCTTCAGTGCATTTTGACTGACGATATTTTCAGCTTAGGATGGGTTTATCAGGATGTGGCCCTATCATAAGTGGAGGGGTATCTGTATTAGACTGAAATCAAATTAGCAGGTTGCAATAGCCTTTTCTTTTAAGAACTAGATTAGAAAAATGTGAGTGTGTTTTAATAGGGTATTTTATTAAACATATATACATGTGTTGGTGGTGGAGTGTTTAGTGTGTTTACTGCGTCATTTTTGTACATTTATGTATACTTACTGTGTTTATTAAGGGTCATGGTCCAAAAAAAAGTCAGAAAGCCATATTTCATCAAAGCAGCTTAAATAGGTTTATTCTAGAGTTTTACTGTCTTATTTTTCCATAATGTTTATGTTTGCACATTAAATTTGGTGGTTTATATGGGAACAGTACCCATTATTGTTCCGAAATCTATCCACATTTTAGCATTTTAAAAACAAAGTTGATAATTTAAGGTTAAAGAAAAACACAAATAGGGGTAGCCTGATTTATTTACTCCTATAGCATCTCACCCCTTATTTCTTTCTGATTAGACTCTTGGTGACTATATTCCTGTATCCTTTATCTGTCAGGCAAGCTCACTGGCTTGGGAAGGTATCATAAATAAATATATGACAGTTCTTCTGGCTGAATTTCACTGTGATAATCATGTTATTGGAGGTTTCCTTTCCCGCAGACATTGTCCATAACAAGCCTGTCCTCCTGACTGCCTTGTTTCTATTCATGGCGTCCCCATTTTCCACAAGTCATCTGTGGTTCCTTTTTCCCCTCCATATCTTGCCCCTCCCTGTGTTCCTTCAGTCATCCAGGCCTCTTGGTTCCTCACCCTACATCCTCTTCCATCTGTCTCTTAGTGTGCATTTATTTTGCCACCCCCTTTGTTTATCGTCTATCATCTCATTCCTGGACTGTGGCAGGAGTCTTGTTCTTTTAGTAGACTTTCTCTGACTGCAGTGGAGGCTAAGCATTGGAGACGAAGAGATGAATGAGCTGGAGCCCCTGCTCTGGAGAGGTGCAGAGTCTGCTGGGGGAGACCAACTCAAAGGGGTGTTTGTTGGAGAATGTGGTGAGGGTGCCCACAGAAGATGGGCACCTGATTGGTTTCCTTCCCTCCCTCCTCCTCCTGTCTCTCCTTTGGTCCTGCCCATCTCATCCTCATTAACCTTAAAACTGCACGTTGTGCTTAAATAGCAATCTGTATCAATTACCAGGCTTTCCTCTTAAGCGTTTTCATCACTTTGTCTTCAAATTAAAATAAACTCTTCAACCTGGAAATTGTTTATTCTAAGCTGGGTTCCTGGACTGCTGGTATCATCTGGGAAATTGTTAGAAATGCAGATTCTTGGGCCTCCCCAGACCTATTTTTTCAGAAACTCTGGGGATGGGGCTCAGAAATCCGGATTTTAGGAAACTCTCTAGGTTATTCTGAGGACCTCTAAAATTTGAGCACTACTGCCTGCAGGCTACTGAGTCCCTGTGACCCAGCAGCAATCCCATCACTTGAGTGCCAGTTAGATATGGAGATTGCCGGGCCTTCCTAGGAAAGCAGATCACCTGCTGGTGGGGCCCTGGAATCTGTGCTAAACACAGATGTGTTAAACACATCCAGCAGGTGATTCTTTTGTCCTCTTAGTGAAACACTGTTAATGGGCTATTTTAAGGGTTTTGGCTTTAATTGTGAGTAAAATATAGGAAGTCCTTGGAGGCTCTTAGGAATAGAATGACTTGTATCCTTCTTGCCTTAGTCTCTTAGCAATTCTGCTGAGTTCGTCTTGGTGTGGTTTGAGGTTTAAGCATCTAGCTGTGGCCCCTCTACTTGGTCTTATCTACATTTTGGTTTTCCTAGGAGATCCCATTCTGGTTCCTCTTCTGAAACCCCTCCCAACCCGAAACCATCCTTGCTGGGGACATCTCTGCCTCGGAACATAATTAACACACATTTGTTTTTCTTTATATTGTTTTCATTTCATGAATCTTTTCTGTAGAAAGAATACCAGCTCCTCAGAAGGAGGGACCACATCTTATACTTTGCATATTACACATTGCTTTGTATTAAAAATGAGAGGATTTGATAAGATTCTAATTCTGCCTGATTTAGGGTGGTTTCATGTAAAGTGTGTTCCACTTTCTAATCTCTTGGCTTCTACTTCATAGGCTAAGACTGGAGAAGTGCCAGGTTGCCTCAAAGGATGAGGTATTAATTGTGCCTAGGTATGTAATAAGAATATGTGTGGAAGTGGAGGGTAAAATAGTAGGCACTATTATATACTGCCCCTTTTTCTTCCTCTTTTTATTTTATCATAGGTCATATGGAGTGGGCAGCTCTTCTTCCTTTAGATGTTAATATCTTAGTATCCAGCCTTCTTCTTCTTCTCCATCTACAAGCTTTCCCTGGGCAGTGATTTCAGCTACTCACTATAATCTGATAATTCTCATCTGTAGCTCCAGCCAAGATCCTTCTCCTGAACTATAAATGCTCAGTTCTAGTCATCTGCTGCTGTTTCTGAGATACAATGCAGACAGTTGGCCAAGTTTCCAAAACTACATTGACTCTTGAGGTAATCTGAACTCAACTCTTGTGGCTTTAGGTATGTCCATTTGCTCACTACTTCTGTATGTTAGCCTCCAGCTTGGATGTCTTTTTGAAGTTCAGACTCTAATATCCAGTTTCCACTGGATATATGTACTTGAAAGTCCACAACTGAACTCATCAGGCCTCCCCCAAAACCTGCTGCTCCCACAGGCTTGCCCATCTCAGTAGGTGACACCTACCTTTGTTGAGGTGCTCAGCCCAGAAGCCTTGAATCATCCTTGACTCCTGTCTGTCTTTCACACCCCACGTCCAATTCAAAGGCAAGTCCTGCAGGTGTTCTTTTCAGAGTAGATCTAGAGTCTGCCCCTATCTCACCCCTCTCCTGCTTCCACCTTGGTCTAGGCTGTGCCACTGGTGTCTACCCTGTGTCTGTACTGTGCAGTAGCCTGCCAGCTGGTCCCCCTGGTTCTGCCCTTGCCCCTCTACAGCCTGCTCTCCACGCAGTAACCAGAGTGATCCTTTAAACCCTAAGTCATTCATCTGCTCAAAACTCTCCAGCAGCTTCCGTTCATGCCTAGTAAATGCCACAGCCCTTAGAGGGGCCCACAAGGCTCTGTGTGATCTCCCCACCTCTGTCCCCTGCAGCTAGGCTGCAGTCACCCTTCCTCCAATATACCAACTGTGTGCCTCCTCCAGGCCCCCACCCTGACTCCCACCTGCTGCTCCTTCTGCTTCAGAAGCCCTTCCCCCAGGGGTCCATGTGGCCTGTTCCTCACTTCTTTCCCATCTCCAGTTGTGTGTCACCTTCTTAGGGGGACCCTCCTCAGTTTCCCCAGAAAACCCAGGGCCCTGTCCCTGCTTGAGTTTTCTTCACAGCTCATGTGACTCCTCACAGATTTCCTTGCTTATTGTCCATCTGGTCGTGATTAATTGTTGGTGGCGTAAGAGCAGACCTGTGCACTCACTGCCATTTCCCCAGCACTGAGAACAGTACCTGGTACATCACGGGCACTCAGATACTTGCCGAGCGAGTGGACCTCATTGGCTCCTCTCTGTATTACCTGTACCTCGTTCAGGAACCTTCCATCCTTTGTTCTGGACTTGGCTGATGGTTGTGGTTGCTTTGCTTTACTGTGTGTCTCATCTCCTACTTCCTACATGTAGCAGCTGGTAACTGCAGCTGCTGGAAAGACTAAAATGGCTTATTGGCTATGTGAACATGTATAGGTTTGCAATTCTGAAGTTATTGTTCCACTGCCATTGGAGAGGTTTGGAGCCTGATTCCCGCCCCCCCCGCACTCCCCCCCCGCCTTTTTTTTTTTTGCATGTCCTCTTCATCTGTCTGGTTTGGGGATTTAGTCCTGGACATGATGGCACATGGAATGACACTCAGCTACAAGAAATGGCCCAGCTGAGGATTAAACACCAAGAAGAACTGACTGAATTGCACAAGAAACGTGGAGAGGTAAAGCGAGCCCCTTTCCTCATCTGTCCTCTGTGCTCTGTGAGGGTCCCATGGGAGGGAGATGGGAGCCCAGTCACTTCCTGCTAGAATTGACAGCAGTCTTGGCCAAATACGGCATCACAAGAATGAAAGGGTGGGGAAAACTGACTCAAAATACCAGGCAGCTTTTGAGTGTGAACCCTGAAATTTTAGAAACCTTCGTTAGAAAGAATCAAGTCCAGGGCTGTGTTTACCCTGAATGGTGGTCTTGTGGCAAAGCTCCAGTAGGGAAAATATAGTTTACCATCAGTTCAGCTGGATTGATAGTTTCTTCAGCAGAAATGAGTCTCCGAAAAGGTAGCTGCAGTCTTGAGGGGTAGGCAGTTGTCCTCAGTGAGCCCCAGGTGGTCACGTAGAACACTTCTCATTCATCCAAACCATGCTTCAACAGGGAGCAGGGCTAATTCCCACGTGCATCCCCATAGGCTTTTCTGCTCCTTGCTGCCACCAAGATTGTTTATTCTTGATACCCAACCCCAACCCCACAAGAACATTTTCTTTCTTAAAAATAGTCACCCACTATGTAGTTTCCAAGTAAGGTCCTAAAATCTGTTATTTATGAAAGTGTTTTTCTTTATCTCCCAGTTAGCTCAGTTGGTGATTGACCTGAATAACCAAATGCAGCAGAAGGACAGGGAGATGCAGATGAATGAAGCAAAGTGAGTAGAGGCCATGCATCCTTGGGGCCTGGTCATTGGTTCACACATCCTGTTTTGCTGCACTCTTGTGAGTGGGGCCAGTGGTGAACAGTGGCCACACTGCATTCAGCAAGAGTTTTGTTTCAGTGCATGCACAGTCTGGGATCCTTTTCTGTAGCTCTGAGAAGGAAAAAGCAAGGACCGCTGTCCTCAGGCCCCCGGGCTTCTAGCATCCTCCTAGGGAAGTAACGTTGGCCCTCGTAGGTGTCCCAGATGCACTCACGGTTCTCCCGTGTCTGCTGTGCGTGGGAGCTCGGATCTTCTATGGTGGAGGTAGGGCCAAGATAGCCGAGTGCGTGGCCCTTGGGAACAAGAAAATGAGTTTCTGAGTAAGAATGTTGTTGCTCAGGCCTGGCAGACAAGATTAATGGGGACTCTGAATCCTGCGATGTTGGAGCTGGAGCGGCAGTTGAGTTTCCTTAATATGTGGGAAGGGATCTAGCGGCTTAGAAAGGTGGGGCATTTGCTGAGGAATGTTAGAGCTGGTGAAACACATAGGCTTTCCAGCCTACTTTTAAGTCCCCTTATCTGTCTGAGCATCAAAAACTCCCTCTTCCTTTAAATCCTGCTGTTCTGAAAGGTGCTTTCACTAGTCATGCATAGTCAGGATGAATTTCCTCTCTTCACAGGATTTTCCTGTAAACTGTTGGACTGGGCCTGGCTAAGGAATATAATGAACACCAAGTGTTTCACACGGGGCCTGGTGTGATGGCCTGTGTCCCTGTTGTTGGCCCTGAGTTGGAGCACTCAGCCAAGTCCCTCTGGCTCTGGTGCAGGGCTCTGTGAGGTACCATTCCTCCTCTAATGTCATGCTTTCAGAATTGCAGAGTGTTTGCAGACTATCTCCGACCTTGAGACAGAGTGCCTAGAACTGCGCACTAAGCTTCAGGACCTTGAAAGAGCCAACCAGACCCTGAAGGATGAATATGATGCGCTGCAGATCACTTTTACTGCCTTGGAGGAGAAACTGAGGAAAACTACTGAAGAGAACCAGGAGCTGGTCACCAGGTGGATGGCCGAGAAAGCCCAGGAAGCTAATCGCCTGAACGCAGAGAATGAAAAGGACTCCAGGTGGGACATCAATCCACAGTTAGTGGTTTCATGTTTAGTAAAGTAGATCCAGTTCTCTGAAAAGAAACAAACCTGGCAGTTCTAATTGCAGGGGGAAGCAAAAATACAAAACACTAACAAAATTAGAAATAGTGATAGTGGATATAAAAGAAATTTGCATTTGTAAGGACACTTTTATAGCTGGGAAGAGGAATATCTCCCAGAGGGGCATTGGCCCATACTCCTTTTACCAGGGAATTCTCAGTGTTTTGAGGGGTAAAGCTAATTCCTGACAATATAAATGAAGCCAGAATTAGAGAAAGATTAAAATTCCCCCCAAATTTTGTGAAGCTCTTCAGACCCATATGAAAATTCTGATCTTGCAAGTACACAAAAGACTGTAGTCCAGTCTCAACGTGAATATAGATGTGGAATTGCTAAATCAAAATCAGTGATATTTTTTAAAAACTCAGTGCATTCCTACTAAGATTTAGCTACTTAAGATAAATCTTAAATCCTGCTAAGACTTAGGAATTAAGAGATGGATTATTGAGCGGTCAATTAAATATGTATCACATTAGATTAGACACTACATGATCATTTTAGTAGATCCCAAAAGGGCATTCTGATTAATTCTGATAAAAACTCTTAAATTGGGACCAAAAGAGAACGTTTAATAAAAACACCTATCTCTGACCAACAGCCAGTAAGTAGTGTTCTTAACATGGAAGCCTCCTGTCTTAGCCATTAGGAATCCAAATCTCTGTCGTGGGAAATGTCTGTGTTGAAAAGCTCCTCCAGAGAGTCTAATAGATCCATGGTCAAGGTCCACAGGTCCACCATTTTACACACACTCCCATTAAAACCAACTAGCAAGAAAAGGAGGTAAGGCTCATTCTGTCGCAGTTCTTAGAGATCATCTTAGAGATCACCAAACCTCGAGTGCACCGTTGAAAAGAAGAGGGTGGTTATCCTCCTAGAAAACCTGAGAAAATCATCTGAAAACCATTAACAAAAGTTTTACAGAGATTAGGACCTATTTTTTTTAAATCCCTATATCAGTAGTTAAAATTTGGAAAGATTATTGTAGTTGATCCAAAAGAACGAATAAGTGACAGTAGGAAAGAGTCACAGAGAGTAGTGATGAGCGCTAGCCTCACCGGATAATCAGACTCAAAATCTGCAAAACCGAAGCCACAAAGGTAGAAGGGTAGCACGTGAGTGACTGTCTCCCGTTTATTCCGTGAGGAGCATCGGAAGACTTTCTAAACATAACAGTAATGAAAATAGAATGCACTGTATCAAATTTTTAGATTTCCTACCTTCAAAGAAGAATGAAACAATAAACTAGGAGATGTTCTTTTAAGTATCCTTAATATAGAGTCAGCAAGGAAAAGAGCACTCAGACAGATGGACAAGAAGCACATGGAGCTCAAAAGGCAGAGACTGACATGGTCAGGGAATGTGGCAGACAAGGCGGCACAGGGCCCTCTCCCGTGGCAGATGGGAAGCACGTTTGAACCGCCTCCTCGAGGGCACTGTGGGATGAGCAGGAACCTGAAAAGTTCCTACTTGTTTAGCTTTATTCTAAGGAAGTAAGGGGACTTGTTCACAAATATTTTGTGAGGGCACATTATTCACAGTAGTGAAGAAATTAGCAGTATGTCCCTTGTGGGATAATTAAATTATGTGTCCATACAGTGGAATTTGATAAAACCATTTAAAATTACATATTTTAATAAAAAGAAAAAGGAAAAAAATTATATATTTTAAGAATACTTAGTGACATGAAAAATGCCTAAAATTAATATAACACAAAAATAGGATATATTTTCATAAAACATTGCAATTTTATATGCATTTTTTTAAAGACCAGAAGTAATTACATGTGCTGTTAATGGTGTTTGAGATTGTGGTTTTTATTTTATACTTTTCTGTATTTTCTAACTTTGTAAAGTTTCTATAATATTAAGAGCTGTCCTTTTTGTGTTCTTTCTGTGTCACATTTACTTTAAGTAAAATAGTATGGCTCGTGCCATGGAGTTCTTCAGCAGCGTGAGGGTGGTGGGGACCCCAGGGTTAGCCGATGCTGCCAGGTCGCGTGTTCACAGTAGCCGAAAGGCTGCCGGAGAGAAAAGTTGAGGTGTGTGGCGATGCCAGGGAAGAGCCCCTGAGCGCCCCAGTGGACAGGGAGAATGATGCAGCCTTCACATGAAGATGGTGTGGGGAACACTTCAGATATCTGCCCTCGTTTTTTATTCCTCCCTTTGAAATGTTTTCCTGGGAATAAGCACTTGAAGGCGTCATGTGATTGCAGACCTGGGCCTGGGGAGTCTTTTCATTACTTTCCTCAGGTAGTTCCTCCCCTTCACGTGCTTGATACGGTCTTAAAATAAAAACAAAAAAAGACAGTTCTTCCTTCTAGAAGCCTTGTTATTACCCACTTCCTGCCAGTCCTCCAGCTTACATGTTTCTTGTTTTCTTCTAGCAGCTTTTGTTTACCTGGATCACGACGTAGCATGTTTTGAAACAGCTCTTCATGTTCTGTCCTCCTCACCAGGCTGAGGTGTGTCCCCACAGTTGGGCACAGTGGCTGCTTAAGGTGCTCTCAGGAAATAGTTGAACTTTCAGCTATACTGATGAGGGCCTGGCTACAGATGTTGTTTTCCTCTCCCTGTGACCCTAGGTCAAGTTTTTTTCTCTACCTTGTAGAACTGGGACCTGAAGTTATAGATTTCAGATAGTCTACCAGCAGGTGCCTTTCCCGTAGTGTTACACTCCCTGCACTGAGATTTGGTTTTCTCTCGAAAACAGTTCACAGGTTGTCTCTTCCACCTAAGAAGATTTTGGTAAATTGCATTTTTTGTCATTTGTCCTGTAAAACTTATTTTTCATCTTCTAGGTATAAAATGAAGAGTGTGATGAACTTTTTAAAGCTATACTCTCATCACTTCCCGAGATTCTGATATGCCACCTAGAGGACTTTTCCTCAGTTTGAGCATTACCACTGTGGTGGAAGCTGAAAAGAAATTTCAGCAGAATTCTTGATGGGAGCTCATTAGCAGTACTGGAGTTCTAAATTGGGGGTCCTCTGCATACAGGGTATAACCATAGTTAGAGACAAAATTGCCAAGAAAGAGAGAATGAGACCAAGGTTAAAAATTAGGGAGTTCCTGAATTTAGGACTTGGGAAGGAAAGATAAAGATGATTCTGAGAGGAACGAGTGGATGAGACTGTTTACCACATTCAGATTTTGCCAAGACTTCTATCTATGTCTAGCTTTAATAAATTGAAGTTATGTGACTTTGATAGTTAAAGATCTTTCTATACCTCAGTTTCTTCATCCGTAAAATGGGAATAATAGTACCTACCTCAGGGGCTTGTTATAAAGATTAAATGAATTAAAATCTATAAAATCATTAAACAGATACAAATACGTTCTAAGTAAATCTTCACTATTGTTATTCGTGCTGTGGGTACATTAGTACAGGTTGAGCATCCAAAATCCTAAAATTTTTGAGCATTGACATGACACTCAAAGGAAAAGCTCATTGGCGCATCTTGGATTTTCAGGTTTGGGATATTCAACTGGTAAGTATGATGTGGATATTCCAAAATCCAAAATCTGAAAAGCTTCTGGTCCCAAGCATTTTGGATAAGGGATACTCAATATGTATAAGACTGTTTTGCTGCAGAAAACTAAGTCACAGCCGTGTCTAACTCCCAATAAACCGAAGGCACCTTTCTGTCCTGAGAGGCAAGGGGAGCCTTACAGTTGTTATGGGTTTGGGTCTGGGACTTTGGATACCTTTGCACAGGGTAGTTATTTTAAATGCACGGAATATTCAAATGTGTTATTAAAACTTGTATTTTACTGAGAGCCGAAATCCCATGCTTTCCTTGAGCAGACGTAAATGGTGGGTTTTTCTTCTTTTTTCTTTTTCTTTTCCTTCCCCAACCCCGGGTTTTTCTTAATAGGCGGCGGCAAGCCCGGCTGCAGAAAGAACTTGCAGAAGCAGCAAAGGAACCTCTACCGGTTGAACAGTAAGTAGAGACAAACCAAAACTATGCTTCTAATAATTTGGCACTTTTAAATAGTTCTATAATGTTTTATTTCTGTAAAATTATTTTATAGACTTTTAGAAAGAAAACTGAAAAATTAAAGGGAAAAAATAAAAACACATAATTCTACCTCCCAGAAGTAACATCCATATATCATTTTAGTTGTGTTTTGGTGGCTTCAGATTTCGCGCTTATGAATAACGTACTGAATATGGTCTTTGATCATATTTGACCATATTTCTGATTACTTGAGATAAATTCTTGACAGTGAAATTTGGTGACTCAAAGCTTTTGGAGCATGTTGCCAATAACCTTCCAAAAAGTTGTTCTTGTTTATACTCCTCGGCTGTGAGTGTGAGTTTTAACTTCCTGCACTCTGCATACATTACCGCCTCACTGTTTCCTGTTGACACTTTTCAGTTTTCTGCCTCTAATTGGGCCTGTTCTTGGGAAATGGCTGGGCTGAGTGTTCTTTCTCTTGCTTTCTTTTGGTTTGTGACTTTAAGTGGAAAATTGGGGTGGGGGATATTCCCTGAGATTTGAAGCTTTAAGAGTGGTGGATATTTTAATAACAAAATTTGCTTTGCTTTTTGTGTTTCCTTTCTATTGAAATATTTTTTAGAATATAGTTTTAGAATTATGATCCACTATTTTTAAAAATGTTGGTTGCTTCTTTATCAGTGGAAGGGAGTCGGCTGGGCTTGGTGACTCACGCCTGTAATTCTAGCACTCTGTGAGGCTGAGGCGGGAGGATTGCTTGAGCTCAGGAGTTCGAGACAAAGCTGAGCAAGAGCGAGACCCCGTCTCTATTATAAATAGAAAGAAATTAGCCAAACAACTAAAAATAGAAAAAATTAGCTGGGCACGATGGCGCGTGCCTGTAATCCCAGCTACCCAGGAGGCTGAGGCATGAGGATCACTTGAGCCCAGGAGTTTGAGGTTGCAGTGAGCTAGGCTGATGCCACGGCATTCTAGCCCAGGCAAGAGAGTGAGACTCTGTCTCAATAAAAAAAAAATGAAAGGGAGTGGTTTAAATTCAGGTAAAAGTCATTCATCAATAAATGTCTTAATTTATAAGAAAACAAAGGTTATCATACCAAGCCTTTGCTTTAGATGTAGGGTATGTATACATCTTCTGCACTCTTAGATGTGTAAAGTTAATCTCACATGTATTTTCCCAAAACCATAAAGTAAATAAGTAGTTAGCCTAGAAATGAGATTTCGTTTCTTAAAAATAACACCTTATAAAAATGTCATTTGCCAGCATAACCAGGCATAGTGGCTCATGCCTGTAATCTCAGCACTTTGGGAGGCTGAGGTTGGAAGATAGCTTGGGCTAGGGGTTCGAGACCAACTTGGGCAAACATAGTGAGGCCCTATCTCTACAAAAAAATTAAAAAGTAGCCAGGCATGATGGCACATGTCTGTAGTCTCAGCTTCTTGGGAGGCTGAGGCAGGAGGATTGCTTGAGCCCAGGAATTTGAGGTTACAGTGAGCTGTGATCATGCCACTGCACTCCAGCCTGGGTGATAGAACAAGACCCTCTCTCTCTCTTTTTTTTTTTTTAAAGGGGGGCGGGCTGCTCTTCATCTCTATGCTTCTTACCTAAGAGAGGAATTTCTAGGTTAAAGGAGGACATTTGCATCTTTGAAAGGTTTTGGTAATGAGTTGGCAAATAATGGTATTCTCTTGTGGTCCTGGGCCTGTGCACAGCTCTAGGTGCTTTATGACCATAAAATTCTGTCTTAGAGCACTGTCATAGGCTCAGCTCATACTGCTCTTCTTGCCAACTTTGCAGGAGCACAGGTGACTCCCACAAACCTAAATCTGTGTGAAAGCCAACCAAGAAGAAAATAAAGCACAGCGTGTCCTCTTTATTTAGGCCTGCCTTTATTCTCATCTACATCCTGGCCAAGAATGTGGTACAATTACACATAATCCTGAAGTAAATAGCCAAGGAAAATAAATTTACTTTGACTTGGTTTAACTTGCTTGGTATCAAATTCTTGAGTATATGTTTATATAATCCAGATAATTAATCATGAAAAAGGAAAAATCATGTTTTCAAGTTCTTACAAACCCAAACAGTAGGTGATAAAGTCTTGAGTTATTACATTTTATTATTTTACTTCTCCATGAAGATTGCAACTCTGTGGGAGGTCATTAAGACCAAAATGATTACTTGCCTTTACCCCTCAACTAGGAAAGGTGTGGCCCATAGAAATGAAGAGGGGAAATTCTGGGGGGGCTTTGCATCTGGTGGGATGGACAACAACAAAAGGAGCATGTTCCTAGGACTTCATATCACTTGCAACTTGATGGGCTCTTCAGATGTCAGAGGCACTGAGTGTTTAAACATGAGCACAAAATACCCAGAGTCAAAAGTGAATAGTGTTTAGCTTTTGCTTTTCTATCTTTAATTAAATATATGAAATCAAGTTGTTGATGGCCCTTTTAGCAATCCCTTCTTCCCCTGGATTCTTCTCCCTATGCACTTTTTCTTTTATTTCTT